CAATCAAAAAATATTACAGTCCCAATATTGATCCGTCCGCGTGATGGTCGTTTACTCTAGTGATGATATTTTAAAGAAGAGAAGAGATAGAGCTCTGAAATTTGCTGCTATAATAGCGAAGTGATGGGTGCATGTGATGATACAATTAGAATGGAAAAGCTCCCAGTTTCTTTGGAAATGGCAACCAAGGTCTGTGGAAAGGAATTTTTGTCCAAAAATATGGCCGTCCAAAATTTGACTTTGAGAGCGCCTGTTGTTAGCATACAGAGTCTATCTGTTTTGATAATGATGTGTGCCAAACAGTTATCATAGATCTATCATATGATAGTAAGAGAAAACAGCAAAGCTCTGTCAAAGCTGAGAAAGAGCGTCTGAAAATCGGGCATGTCCGAACACGTACGTTTACTCCATGCATAATTATGCATACCCATAGATATTAGAGTAAACGTAATGAATATCTATGTCGTCACTCGTCACCTGATGAGCATGAGACACACCCTCACTGACACTTGTATGGGATAATGGTAATCTTTTAAATTGTTTATTTTATTTTATTTTCATTTTCATATTTTCATTGTAGAGCTACTATGACAAAGGAAAAGAGGTAGGGCCTTGTTTACAATAGCAAATTGTAATTTTTATCTTTTTTCTTGTAGCCTGAAGGACCAGGAAAATTTGTTGCTTTTGATCATGTGACTTTTTGGGTTGGAAATGCTAAGCAGGTGTGTATATATAGTGTATGGTTACTATATATTAGTATGAGTTAATAGAGGCTAATAGAATAGAAGCCACATGTAATAGAAGTGTTCTGTCTGATTTTGGTACTTAATTAAGAGTTATTTAAAAATATCAATTTAGCTTTTCTTTGTTAAAAAATTGACTCAGCATTATTAGAAAGAAAGCTTTAACTGTTCGGAACAGCATGCCATGAGGCCATTGCAATAGCTTATTGTTTCATGAGCAGGATTTAATACCATACCTGCATAAATTGCATGTAAAATTAATAAAAACCACATGTGGGCAGGGAAACTCAAGTTACAATGACCTTTTCATTAATCATACATTTTATTTATTTTTTAATAATTTTATAGGCTGCATCTTATTATTGTGTAAGACTTGGTTTTGAGCCGTTTGCTTACAGAGGCCTTGAGACAGGAGAGAGGAACGTAGCTTCACACGCAATCAGACAGAATAAAGTAAGAAACGAAATAAATTGAATTAACTCTTTGTTTTATTTTTCATCAAATTTTCTCCTTTATGTAATAATATATACCATGTCTTGAATGCCTTTGAGATCTGTAGCAGAAATTACGAGACCCAAGCCCTGAGATATCTGCCTGTGGCAAAGCTGAGGGTAGATATTGAGGGGCGAAGAAGGTCTTTATATCCTGTTCTTATAAGGCTGGTTTGCAATATGACATTAGGCCAACGTACCGTCAATTTATAATCAAAAGCGTGGGCGATTTGACCTTTTGATGCATGCTTTCTGCTAGAATAGAACCATATTCTATTCCAGCATCAATGTAATGTTAGGACTAGCGTAATGTTGTAAACTAGCCTTTAGTCTTCTTCTCTTTGTTATTACAAGGACAAGGCTACAGGCTACTGCACGTGGTCACACTACTTTGCAGTAGTGTGTTGATAATTAAGCACCCGTGCCTGGGCTTGGATATAATTATTATGGAACCTAATGAATATCATTAACTTCATAATGAATATCATTAATTAAATTTGCACAAAAATTTCCAGCCACATGATAACAGAAAGTGGTTACTCCTTACAAAAATGATACAAATTATATTTTTATATACAATAATATCATTTTATAATGATAATTTTGATATTTCCCTCAGGTTATATTTGTGTTCCAGTCCCCATACAATCCAGTGGAGACTGAAATTGGTCGTCATCAGATGATAAGAGGAGATGGAGTGAAGGACATTGCCTTCTCTGTTGAAGACTGCAGGGCTCTCTTTAAGGTTAGGGGAATAAAATGAGTATGTATTTGATAAGAGAGCAAGGCAAACTGTCATAATTATTTTACTGTACTGTACTGTTACTGCTATCCAATGTTTATATAACACATCTACATGTACATGTATTGTATGATGCAATGTGTAGAATAAAGTGACCTTTTCTGTCTTAATTTTTACGTTTTATAGCGTCAATGAGAGTTAAATTTTGTACATCTCAAAATTATAGACATATGCATCTATGACAAATTTTAAATGCTTTAATATGTAGCACATACATGTACAATATCAAGAGTAGATAATAATTAGAGGAGAGTGTCCTACTGTGCCTATACCCCCTGCTTCATCACGGCGTAGAATTGAAGAGTCACATTCAGGATATTTCCGTATTTTTCATTGAGTTTGAGTAGTTATTGCTAGTTATTTTTGAATAACTACTCAAAAGTACTGAAAATATCCTGAATGTGACTCTTCAATTCTACGCCGT